TTTAACGGTACTGCAGAAGTCTTATTCTGATAAATAATAAAAAAGCTATGAAGATGTGAATTATATGCAATCAGCCCATGAATACAGGTAAAGTCACGAACAAATGCTAATAATATATATTCAAAATGTACAAGTAAAGCTCTTTCAAAGGATACCAAACACGGCATATTTATCTTAACTTTATTTTTTTACTCTGTATGTTTCGTCCGCTAGAGGGCGCCACGTTATTATTGTACTTCACTACAGCACATAATATTCGGACAACACAACAGTCCTAGACTACAGACTACAATAGTTTGTAACACCTATTTATACCATTTTTTAAGCAAATAATTATATTACATATTATACACAAGGTGTATACTTGTATCCTGTTTTCCTAGTCATTGAATGTTAATCATATCCCACAATAAGCATTGTTTCATAAATAAATATATTCAAAGTTTTACCTGATAGATAGGAAGGAACACTTCAAACGATATTCTCTCATCCGGCTTCAAGTGTAGTGTGCATTTTTTAACATCAGACTCAGTGGGGTTCTGACCGAGAGCTCTCAGGGCATCTCCAATCTGTGCTACATGGATCTTGCCATCACCACGTGAATCAAACAGCTGGAATGCTTCCTGAAATTCTAATAAATTATAAAATTATATAAGTACCATAAAATTATGTAGGTATAATAAACAAGTGGGTCTTTTAAGTGGGAAACACAGATTCATACAAAGTGAGCACCACAATGGCAACACAAGGGCGTGGCACACGGCGACTGATGTGGGCGCATACAGAGCGTACCTTCGACGGAGGTCAGCTTCAGTTTAGTGGGAGGCTCGTACATGAACATGTTGCAAGGGAGTGCGGCGACGTACTAAGTGCGACCTACTGCGCGCACAGCGAGGCCGACGGCCCAGGCGACACACCTGGATCGCTTTAAAATACAAACCATATAAGGAAACTAGGGCGCTTGTAACAGCCACCACTTTCGGCACAGACGTTGATTGACGTGACATGAGTCACAGTCAACGCTCGGGACGCACACGCCACAAACTGCATCACGGTTTTATTTTAATTTTGTTGTTGCTCTTGAATCACTGTGCATTACATCACTCCAGCCAGTTGTACAAGCTCGTTTCATAGGTACATTAAATTACTCACCTAACAGTTGATCTTCTGAATAACCAGCCTGTAACAAATTCGAAAAGCGTTCACATAAGATAACAAATACGTGACGACGCAATTTTGTAACGTCAACAAAAAACAAAATAAGTAATGCGTATTTCTGTCTTCATACCATGTTAATCGGTGACACTGCAATCTAAATGTTATAAAAAATACTGCAAGATTCAATGACTCATACGCAAGTCGACAACAATTAATTATTCAACGAAGTCTTAAAGTCATATAAGGCGATGGTACTACTATCAACCCGACAACCGACAGTCGACAGCTATCAACATATTAATTTGAAGTTTAAAGTTTTGACATAAAAACAACTTTTAAGGAAACTCCATAGAGTTTAGATAGAAAACTAGGAATGGACTAAAACAACGAATGACAATAATTGACAATGACTTGAATGACTTCAATGTGAGTGTCGACAATTTGACAATGACACTCATCGTTCATCACTCAAGCACAGGAATACTCAAGTCAAGTCACTTAACCAACCCTACTTTGTATTTTAAACTACAATATATAAGTGGCTACAATAGTATAAAGCTTGACTTAACGCTATATTATTTACTTTGAGTTGACTTGTTTGACCCACCGACAATGTGACGGTATCAAATATATCATCATCATCGGGTTTCAATTAGAAACGATGTTAGAAACTTTTGAATGACGGAATCAGTTTCGCAAATTATCTCAAACTTCTTTTTTAATATTCTATACAATGAATTCATGCTTTGGCAACATCACTACATAAAACAAAGTCGCTTTTTTATGTTCCGCGTCCTAGCCATGTCCTAGCTAAGTACAGATTATATATTCTAATCTAAAACTACGGAATCGATTCTGATAATATATATATTTTGACAGATTCAAGAGTTTTCTACTGTAGGTACGTGGCTGTAGGTAGGAGGTACAGTACAAAGTTATTTAATAAACATAAATTTATCTTGGTATTTTGACTCAAGGTAGAAAATAATCTGAGTGTCGTGCCGTGGCGCGTTCTGGCGTTATTTTAGGCACTAAATAGGTACCAGGCCTTTTCGTCATTTCGACGGTCATTATGTATATCTTCTGATTTTAACATTGATCTATATCTAATAGATGGGAAATTATCGTCTATACGATATTATCGTCTATAGGGTAATGTCCATAGGGACAAAATTGAAAATAGTTCTCAATGCTAAATTAATAAACATACTGTAGTTTCTTTTGTATTTATGTATCTTTCTTTTATCTACGCGGAAAGATACCACATATCATTGTCATTCTGGCAATAATTTTGTAACATCACCAAAATACTTTTTACGACCAATTTGCCATTACAAAATCAGTTTCAGTAGTGGGAGATCATCTGTCAAAATGTGTTTATCTGTCAAAAACGTCTCGATCGTCAAATCAATCCCGATCGATCGGACGATCGAGATGATTTTCTGAAAATTCTCGTGTGTTTTCGCGCTGAAGCGGGGGTAGAGGTAAAGATCAGTGAAGAGAAAAATACCGGAATGTGGCAAATAATTTGGATATGGCAGCAAAAGTACTCGTAAACCGCTTCGCTACATGTTCTAGATGAAACATTACATCAATACCTAAGTACTGCGTATTTCATATATCTCTGTTTTTTAAGTATTCAAGTGTGCTTGTTGCAAAAGACTAAATACAATACATTTCTAACAAATCCAGTTCTTATTTTAATTGAAATCAATGGAGCCTACCCCATATTTTTACTCACTAGATGACGCTAGTGTAACGAACAATATTTGTCTCCTGAAGTGATTAGACAAAAAAACTGTAGATTTGCGCCATCTGGTGAGCAAGAAAAACGGTAGCCTCTATTGAAATACGTCAAAACTTTTTTTATATGAAAAATAATGATGTAGTAATTGTTCCCGTAGGTATCGATAATTTTATCTACATCATAAATACTTTAAGAGTAGAATAAGGCCCTACATACAGGTACTATAGTAATAGTTTTTTTTTTGAAGGGGGGAAAATCATCGGTTGCCTGCTCCCGCCTGGGTGAGGCGGAAGGGAGTGTCAGACTCTTACTGACTAAAAACTACCCCGATCCTTCTCCTGCACGTCGAGCCGGAGCCCCGGGTACACGTTAGGTTCTCCGCGACACTATAGTAATAGTAAAACTTCCTCTACACGTTGACGGACCGGCGGACGCATCTGCAGACGCGTGCCTCCGCCGCCGTTGCGTTTGTTGTCGGTCTTCTGTCCAAAGAGTATCCTTACTAATATCCTTACTTCTTTACTTCCTTACTATCCTTATCCTTACTATCCTTACTTCCTTACTATATATATATATATAATATTATAAATTGGAAAGTGAGTTTGATTGTTTATTTTTTTGTTCCGCTTTCACGCCATAACTACTAAACCGATTGCTTTGAATTTTTGCAGACGTAAAGTTAGAAGTTTGGATTAAATAATAGGGTACTTTTTATCCCGGAAAAATTTGATATTCCCGAGGGAAAACAAAAGTATTGGTATAGATGGCGCTGTGTGTATTGGTATGTGTCACATAGGCTACTTTTTATACTTTTGTGACGCGAGCGAAGCCGCGGGTAAAAGCTAGTAGTAATATAAAGAGTCTGTCCGCACGTTTGCCGGCGACGATCTGAACGAACTGTCACTGCCATGGCAAAACTCTAATATCGCGGCCAGAAAGAGTTCATTTTGTTATACCTACTAGTTGTTTATGGATGAGCATTGCTTTTCACAAACCAGCGCACCAGCTTTTTATGAGTATGGAATGCCAGAGGGTCAGATTAGGTACTTGCTCGATGTAAGTCCCAGCTGGTGCAGAACCCTCATTTCAGAATTATCAGCTCTCATAAGCTTACTAAGCGAATTCCGCTTAAGATCGTAACATTTAAACCAGAGAAACGGTTGGTTCCATTGGTGCAAGGATCCTTATATCGTTCATTTTAGTTTTTCAGCATTAGTACCCATCAGTAAATACTGAAAAACTTGACCTATCTTTCACCTCTGAAGAGTAGAGTACTCCAGTATTAATGGTACAGTTAAAATGTTTATGATCCCAACTTTAACGAGCTACACGACGAGCTTTAGGTAAAAAAAAAACAATCTGGAATGTTAAGCATAATTATGCGTAGCCAACCTTCTGGGTACTTTCCCTATTGACGTCGATGCGGACGAATTTTTTGATGCTCTGTACCTCTATGTAAATAGTTATTTTTAGTTTTCATTTATAAAACAAATCTGTATTTTAAGTTGTAAATAGTTTATTACAAAGATATTCCGTAGACTTTATTTAGATTGGTGTGATTAATGGCACATATATACCAGCAGATGCAGCATTGTATTTTATTAGGCGGTCACGAAAGAAATTCTTACACATATCTTCAAAACCACATACTGATGAATACTTGTCATTGTCATAATGCCACAGCCACAGGATTTCCGTCCCAGCTTCAGCTTCCGGCTTGCTAGAAATACACAAAAAAATATTTTTACATAATAATAAGTAAATAAAAATTAGTTATAATAAATCAAAATAAATATTGCCTATTGCTAAAAAACGAAGTCATGTCTTACAAGTTTACTGATTCGACTCGACATTTCATAATTCACATTTCACAGTATTTTACCCACAGAGTACCAATTTCAGTTTCGTTGACGTTTAGAGTATAGTATGTATAGTGATCTGTGTTTCGTTGTCGGTTATCATTCAGCGAATCAGCGACAATCGCAGAGCGAATGGCGATTGGTTGAATAGGTAGACTGGCGAGTCGGGCGACGGGCGTTGAAGAAAAGAAAATGGCAAAATGGTGTGATCCATTGATCGTTTCTGGAAGGTTAGTGTTTATAGCAGGTATTGATTTCTCAAATTTGATATTTGATTTTTATCATCGTCATGGATATCAGCAAGTTATTTAAAATAGTGCAATTTTTGCAATTTCTTAAGTACCAATACCGTTATCGCATTGTGTGGCAAATTTTCGACAGACAAGCGAGGCGACGGCGCCGTTCGGCTCTCGCTTTGTTCACTCATCTCCACGTGCCTTCCGCCATTTAGTCCGTATAAATCGTTAGATTGATGCCTAAACTGTGAATTTTTAGCATCAAATATAGTAAAACCTTAAAATACTCAAGTAGAGTGACGAATTTTCAAGAATTGGAATCGTTTGCTGACGAATAATATAAAGCCGCAACCCGGCGGCGTGGTCGTGTTCGGCGGTAACGTTGAGTAGTGTGCCAGTACTGCCAGTGTGCCTGCGCCAGGCGTAAAGTAAGTGTCACTGCGTTTATTAATTCGTATATAGTGCCAAGCGCTATGTAGACGGCGGCGACAGGATCCTGAAAGGTGCTAACAGTGCGTTGATGTTGCAGGTGACAGTGAGAGGCGGGGCGATGGCTGCCGGCGCTGAGTTTGTCGAGGGCTGGCTAGTCGCCCAGGTGTTGGGGGAAGGTGCTTATGGCGAGTAAGTATTTCTATAGCATGTGATGGTTGTGAATCGCACCAAGTAGAACAATAGAAACCTGATGACCTCAACATAAAAAAGGTTTCACATTGTTTAGGGGTAGTTGAATAAATCACTTATTACCTTCTTGGTACAATAACTGGGTGAGCAGAGAATAATAAGTAACAACAAATAAACTATAGCCGTCCAGAAGACCCACACATCTTACCTTGTGAAGCAGCTGGCTAACATGTCTAACATACCTGTCCTCCTTGTAACTTGACAGTGTAGTCAGACCAATCAGAAAATTTTGCTATAAGTACAATCTTTTGTAATTTATATTTTAAAGTAATTGTATCTCTTTGTGCATATTCCATAATAGACAAAAAACTGGTTTCTTTAAAAAAAATATTAATTTTGAATTGTAAAATGTTTGAGATTGGTTATTTAGTGCTGGAACATCTGTAAGCATAGACAATGCTGGTCCATATTTGTAACACAACATGTAATTTTCAGTTTCTCTGCCAACTAACTCATCATTAGCACCAAACAGTTGCTATGCAGCACTTATTGAATCCACCCTCAGTTGTCAATATTTATACTTAACATTTAAATCTTACATGTTATACTCTATCTTATACTATAGTAACTATTATTATTATATAAAGCTGAAGAGTTTATTAGTGTGAACACGGTTATCTCTAGAAATTCAAGTTACAATTTAATTATTCTTTTTGTGTTGTGTTTGGTAGTGGATTTATTAGGATGGTTATTGGGAATACCCTATAACCATCCTCATTATAATAATAAACATCACACTACAATCAACAGGAGCAGAGCAGGAGAACAGCTAGTAGTTATCATATAAATAAAGCTGCACACTAGACAAATAAATTGTATTTGATCAATTGGATGTCAGATTGTGCGTTTTTGTCTATTGGCTTACTCCATAACCAAAGATTTGATGTGATAGTCAAACACTTGAAACAGGCCTCTAAAACTACCCATTTACCAAAAGTGTACCTTTGTATTGTAGTGTCTATGTTCTATATCAAACAAGACAATAAGAACAAAATTTTACAGCAGACTAGTTCCAAAATCAAATCAGCTGGGTAAATGTGACTAAAAACAAGAATGCCAGCTGTCAATTGCATGTTTCGACCACTTCATATTGGAACAGTTAAGGTACATTAGTTTGATTTCTGCCGCTGCTTGATATTGTTCTGTTTGTAATATAGGTACCAATACTTTACAAAACATTTGACATTAAATCTCAGGTTCAGCAAAATGGAATTGTCTATACTTGGCATTAAACCTAACTAAATGGGACAAGATGTAGTTGAATGAGTAATTTATTTCATATGCATATAACACTAACAACATAATTATGTTAAAAAAAAATTAACTTCCCAATGTTAAAATGGGTTAATTAAATATGTACAACAAGAAACATTAATGAAACAGTAAGTAAAATAAAAATAATAATATAAACCTGCAATTTAAGTTATTATAAGTACCATACCTACAATGTGCAACTCAGCCTGAACATGGTCTTTCTTACTTAGTAATTTTAGATCTATGACTATGTCACTCTTCAGAGGATTAACTGAGAAGTAGATATTACAGAAACACAGACAGTTTGGATACTTTTAATAAGGATATCTATTGCTAGAACTAGCTTCTGCTAGCGGCGTCGCCCGCATTTCCGGATAAAAGTTACCTCATAAGATATTTCAGATTATAACATAAATGTGTTTCAAATTCCTATCAGTCCAGTAGTTTTTGTAAAAGTGTATTCAAGTATTTATTGCTAACAACAAAGTAAGAAACGTATAACTAAATCCTCACAAATTTGGTAGGATTTATAATATTAGCGGGATGTAAAATAGCGTGTCGAATTTACGTTTCAATAAGTAAAATGACTAACTTAACTAGTCTCGAGGCTTAGTTCTTCTGCGAACACGGAACTAGATCGACACTGCAATTTGGATATAAAAAAACACGACGAGCGAGTCATGGCGGCTCGACGCATCCTTGAAAGTTTATCCACCTCGCGCGGTCAGTGCCGCCGCGCGCCGCCTCCGCCGGCCGCAGGTCTGCGCCGAGCTCGAGTTCTGGCACTCGCTACACATACACGCGCCGCTTGCAGAGTGCGGCTACTGGTGCACGCGCGCAGCGGCGCCGCCGTGGCGCTGAAGGTGGCGCGCGA